AACCAGACGTATCCATCTACATCAATGACTTTTCCCCAGTTAAGTGAGTCTCGCATATTGAAATCAAAGCACAGAAGGCGCTGAATTTGTTTGGGTCTCAGAATGTAAGAAAGGTGCAGTTTGTGAGATTATATGTATAGTGCCACCAATGCTTTCCAGCGTTTTAATTGTAGTAAATTGGCTATAAGACTAATTGCAACACTGATATTCAATCTAAAATTTATTTGACATTAACAATTTGGAAAAAAGAGTTACCTTTACTGGGATTTGAACTCCAGACCTCTCGCTTCCTAAGCAAGCCCGAAAACCCTTCAGCCACGGTGAATTTATAATGTGAACGGCCTGAAGAAAACCATATTTTTCTAAATTAGGGTTTGTAACGACTTTAACTGTTGTTTAACACAGATGTAAATAATCCTGGAGCTTACTATAAGCATGTATGTTTATAAAGAATCAAAGGGCTGCAAGTTCTGTGGTATTTTCTGATCTTTGCAATCTAAATCGTACTGTATATCTGTATGCATTTTCCTGTATAAGTTTATTTTTATGTATTATAATTCATTTTGCAAGGCACCAGAGTTTGACACATACGGAATTCTGCATAACTAGAGTTGCATCAAAAAATCATTTATGTTCATTTTTTACGACAGCCACACTTTATCCTTGCATATCATGGCTACTTCCTTAACAAAGACACTTAAAAAAGAATTTAACAACAAAAAAAAGTTTCCTCGACAGGGTTTTGAACTCAAGACCTCACACTCACTAAGCGAGCGCGTTACCACTGTACCACGGAGAAGTTATACACACAAAGTCTGAATAACATCAAGTCATTCTAAATTTAGAACTTCCATTGCATTTCGGGTTTGTAATCCTTATTAATTTCGAGGAATTTTGTTCAGGATAAACCTGTTGTTTAAAATTGAAGTAAATATTTTAGCGAAATTCTTCTCGCCCAAACAGTCCGACATGTAGAATCTATATATTCCACTACTCGGTTTGTGTAGTATTCGGTAATCGACATCGCTAAAAATAGTATTTTCATATTCATCCGCGTAATTTGTGATTGTGCATTTATTGACAATTCTATAAGCCAACGCTATTGTTTAACTTTGAATGCGTTGTAATTTGTTGGATACTTGTAACAAAATAAAATATTTCTTTCTTTTAAATCGCTAGTTTTAAGCTGTTTTGAGAACTACTTGTTGTTAGGTTTGTCGTAAACTTCTGTGTCAGAGATTGAATGTCCGCTTTGTATTTACTGATTTTCGATCAGAAAATACAATAAAACAATATATGAAATCTTCGACCATTCGGGATTTACTTTGCTTTAAAATTAATGCGTCTGTCTTTGACCATTTTTACGCAGTGGTCTCCCCTGTATTTTTCGGCGTTAATGTACATACAAAAGGGAAGTAACCGCTTCAAAAAGTGGACTACTTTCGGCATTTGCAATTAACAACATTAGACTCTGAAATTTCGCTACCATTATTTGTTTGGTCTGACGACCTAAACAAATAAAAATGTCAGCATCAATGGGTTTAATAATAGCGCATCTTAAATCATTATTATTTTCAGTCCATCCGCATACATTTAGGTGAGCTGTTTTCAACATGCCTTGGGGCTAGGATTCATTCTATGGTTTTACGGAACTAGCATCAAAACTCGGGGCAGAAGGTTCAGCGGTACGTTCCTTGATACGACCGTTTGCGTCAATACGAAAGTCATTGCCCTTCGGGATATTACTTAGGAGCGATGTGGCGTTATCTTCGTTGATATGTTAATACGGGCTTTTACTGTTCTAATACCCCGGTCACATATTCACGGAAAACGCCCACGGTAGAGCCTTGGATTAATTCCGGCATCGTCCGTAGCTACCCGTACTGGTCGATCAGTAGCTCTCCGTATTGTAACCGTAATCAATCGTAGTAGTCCTTGCATATCCGTAGCGATCCTTGACAATTTTTGAACATGCACAAAAAATTGCTACGGAAAAATCAACCGTAGCGTATCCCTACTAGTCCGTATTAAACCGTTCTGATACGTACTGGTCCGTACGAAAACCATACATGTACTAGTCTTTATTGATTCGTAGTTCACCAACTTGTCAAGGATTTCCACGGTTTAGTACTTAGAACTACGTATTTGTACAGTTACCCTACGTATTAGCTACGGTTTTAATACGGATTAATACGGCATTGTCACGGAAAGGCACGGTCGTAATACGTTGTACTACGGACGGGCAGGGATTAGCACGGTCTTATACTGTTTATTGCGTTGCAATACGAAACGGTACGGAATGGTACGGTCCATCACTGTTTAGTACGGATAAATTAAGTATCATGTACTTTTTCAAGCTACCTTCTTGTTATAAACAGACGTATTTGCGGGAACATTCAATAAATGATAATTGCCATTAAGTGGCTGCAACTTTATATTGAAATGGCTCAGAATGCGGAGGCAGTGGTCGAGGTGCCTCGGACGCTGGCCCTTGAGTGATAATAAGATTAATTAACAAGGTTTTTACATATTTTTAAAACATAAACATTCACGATAATTAATGTAATTGTAAAATAAACAGAAAATTTTAAAATTAATAAAGGAGCAGTATTGATCAACATTTTTCATTTATGATTACTAGTCCATATCTAATCAGGTAAGAGAAGACGACGACATGGTGGACTAGAGATGAGCTTTTACGAAGACCCCTTCAAGTTTTGTATGAGGATCCGGTGTCCTTCAAAAAATTCACTTTAATCGGACCTGATATGTCTAGGGGTCGGACGCGATGAGGCCGAATCCTCTCCGCCAAAATCATTGAACTCTGCAATTCGTTTTCTATGTGTTCTTTTCTTGTGAGACATTTTTAAATGAGCATGCAAGAGGTTGTGGACGGAAATAATAGGTCCGTATAGATCCGTAGCAATTCGTTCTTCTCCGTATGAATTCGTTCTACTCAGTATCAGACCGTACTTATTCGTACTAACCCGTGCTTATACCGTAACAGATGGTAGTGTATCCGTAGTACGTCTGTCCTGATTCGTGTCGTTTCGTATCAAACCGTGTCGGTCCGTAACAATCCGTGTCTCTCCGAGGGCTTTTGGTGGTAAATCCGTCGGACTCCGTACTCGTACCGTTGTGCGTCCGTACTGGAACCGTAGCGAACTACGGAATTTCACATTTCCGTACTTAATCCGTGAACGATTAGACCGTAGCTCTTCCGTGGCATTATCCATGAATATTGTTATAAGAAGCATGGTTTCGCAATGACATATTTTTCCTTGGCACATTAATTTTCTCTTTCAGTGTTCGAAAACTTAATTTCTCCTATCCTTGTTTTGGTGGGGAAACGTGAAGGGAGTCAGCAGAATATGTTGACCAGTCACACAGTGAAAACTGCTGACCAAGTATAGATATATAACGAAATATCAAATTTTGCCTTGATTTTTTTAATTATATTGTAGGCCTAATGTTAGTAAATATAACATATTCTACATCTCGCAATCCAATTAAACCAATGCTGAGCAACTAAATTATATAAAAACAATGCTGGAGTGGTTTTTTTCGTATTTTCTTCTAATACGATATCGTCGGCAGATTTTACGTAATGTACGTCATATAAAAAACTGATTAAACGTATAGTAGAATCTGCTGACCAGTTAATCATATAGTAGAATCTGCTGACCAGTTAAACATATAGTAGAATCTGCTGACCAGTTTAACATATAGTAGACTATGTTGTCCAGTTTAACTTATAGTGAAAATTGTGGACCATTTACATTATAGATATAGAGAAAATTATGTCTAGATGAAAGTTTCTTTTTTTCAATGTTAGTAAATACAAAAAATTCTACATTTTTCAATAAAACCACTGATGACCAATTAAAACTCTAAAAGGAATTACTTAAGTGAGTTTATTATAATTTTCCGTATTTTCACTTTAAAATTTATTCTTCATTGCAGTGAAACATATCGTAATTTCACTTGTGTCTTGCCGGACTTTTTTTCTTCTTAATTCAGCCAATATACAACATTTTAGTGCAAATTTTTCAAAGTGTAATGTCAAAGAGAAAAATGTATAAAATATTACCGCAACTCATGAAATATTTGTTTTCATACCATGTACTCGATAAAAAATACATCCTGCATTTATCGAAAAGAAAACTTGAATATGCTTTATGTACTACTGACCAATTAAATATTTTTTTTTGCATCTTTTAAATGTCAACATAACATCATTTTCCTCGGAAATCTTTCGACATTTTTTAATGATTCACATAATTTATTACATTTTCCGTGTATGTTATATATAACTAAATTCGAGTTTTTCCCATATCTTTTGATATAAAATGTTACTTTTTATTAATTTATAATTTATTTACACGTTTTCAGTATATAAAAAAAGAAATGAAAGAAAAAAAAAAGAAAGCTTTTGACAAAAGTAAAATTATTTCCCCATATTCTATCATTTTAAACACTATATAATCCAATGGGCGACAGTGCGATGACGATAATTCGACAGCGCGATGAAGACAATGCGATTGTACGATGGCGACAGTGCAACAGCGCGATGACGACAGTACGATAATGCGACAGTGCGATATCGCGTTGACGACAGTGCGAAACCGCGATGGCGACAGTACGATACCGCAATTGCGACAACGCGATATGCTGTCGAATTCGCGTTATCATACTGTTGTCATCGCACTATCGCACTGTCGCCCTCTGGATGATTAATTATAACCACGATGGCCCTAACGGTATTCCGTAAGAAAGCGGTCAATTTTCTATATTCAGTATTGCCTAGGATTTGGTGGCCATGCTCAAAATAACTTGTGCATTAGATCTTTAATCTTAATTTCAATTTCTGTCAATCTAACTATGATTATAACTACGGCTTGCTAAATCTGCGAATCAAAAATACCTTTGCGCCACTGTTCAATACGTACATTATTTTTTTCTTATTATTTTGAAATCACCTGTCGTCTTGTTTTTTTCAGTCCTAGATAATCATACCACAAGTGTTTTCTTACCTGGTTCAAGTCCTGTGTTGTATTTCAAGTTACAAAATGGTTTGGCAAGTAACATAAGATTATACCTACTCCAGACTAACGTCACACTACTAGAAGTCGATCAAGAAAACAACGTGAATTACCATGATAATGACGTAACGTTCAACGGAAATGTTCATCAAAACAACTTCTCCGCAAAAATTCTAAACTTACAAAGACAAAGAAACGGGACATATGTCTGTGAATACACCATTGATGATGACACCACTATGCGAGACGGCATAACTGTTGTCGTTCTAAGTAAACTTGTTGTTTTTTTTTTCTTTTAGGAAAAGTAGTTTTTTTTAGATGTAGATTCTGTTGCAACAGCTTGTAAAAATAACATGGTCTGTCATTTTTCAAATGTATGGACTTTTTCCTAATGAATTTTGAATTTTTCTATTCAATCTCTTTGCATTTTTCTGCGTGCCCACTTATTACAATCGCTAAGTAGATTCGTCGTTCGTAATCTTCAAGCAGAGTTGTCGTTCTTGAATAAATAAAAATTACACGCTCAGAGACAGAACAGGGTTGTCGTTCGTATATAAACGGCGAATTTAACTTTCAAAGTAGAGTTGTAGTTTGAATTAACATTTTAAAGCAGGGTTAATTGTCGTTTGTAAATAGCAATGACACTCTCATAACATAGTATAACATAGTTACCGTTCATTAGTAACAATGCCAGGTCGCCAAACAGAGTTGTAGTTCTTTACATACCTTGTGGTACTGCCGCTCTGCCGGGCGCCAGGCGAAAACACGAAAAAAGACATAGTAACATCGTCGGTTTACACGTAATCGGTAATAATCGGATAAATTCAACGGTTCGGTCGCATTCGCAACTACTCGGCCCTTTCCGTCAGTCTTCGGATAAGGACCTCGAACACAATAGTATGTATATACACAGAACGTATGCGGTATTTCGGTCTAAACTAAACATGTAAACAAATAGTAATTTAATGCTGGGAGTTGCCGACAAGTTTATTTCCAATATATATAGTAAAAATCCACCTAAAATAAGATACAAAAGCAAACAATACATTATTGATATATTTATTATTATGGTTGTAGAAAGCGAAAGTACAAAAAACCAACCTGTTGACATTTAGTCGGATTTGTTTAAAATAGAAAATTGGTGGGCATATTTAAATTAAAAATTGTTGTCAGAGATATTTTCAAGCATAAAAGTACCGGAAAAGACATTAGATGTCAAATATATACATTCGTTTTACATTATCTCTGTTTCTGTTTACATCAGAAACCACGTGGTAGAACTACTTTCAATTCGTTTTGTTTCCGAGGTTATTATAGATAATAGCCGAGGATGTTCCGATTGGGTTCGGTCGTGGGTATCCTAGCTACGATGACAAAGTGGTAACTTTGTCTTAATTTCGTCGTGGGCATAAATCAGCCAGCATAATAACCCGATATTATGCTACTTGTATAAATGATATGGGAGATTAAGGGTAAAATTGTTCAACATTAAAGCTTTAAACATTTCGAAACAAAAAATATTATAAATTAGATGTGTAAATTAACTGTATACAATGAACTTATATTCAAGACTTAGGAACTCGAGAACGGGACCGCAGATTGCGGCGCATGTTTTCGATCGTGTAACTTTTTTAAAAACGTTTCTGCTACATCTATATATCTTTTAGTATTATCCGAGTATATGGCCTCAAAAATATATTATCAATTGAACCCAATCTGTCTCTTTTAAATTCTATCTGGAAACAGTTAATTTAAAATTATCTACTACACAAACTTTTCTTTCTCCAACGTTTCGAGGGGTTAAGCCCCTCTTTATCAAGGAGTTACTGTTTATTTTTATATAAATCACATATTTATCTTCTTATCTGTCTCTTTTAAAACTGGTCAAATTTTACGGTATCATAAAAAACACAAGGAGTGACATCCGCCATTCGCCGCAACGTTTTCGGCATGAGTTTTTCCCCTTTGGCTACAATTGATGACTATTATGTCAGAATTTTGAATGTGTCAACTTTCAGGTATCATCCACAGGCACGGGTATCGGACCTGGGAAGAAAAAATATGACCAGATTGATAAAAAACCTGTCAAAAAAACAAAAATAAATATAAAATGTGACCCCCTTAAGAAATATACTATAAATTAAGAAAAGGCCGGAAACTCCAGATTCGAGCCTACGAGCAAGGGGTTCATTTCCCAATCCATTGTGAAAACAATTGTCCAGACAATTAAAAAACTCTTTTATCACTATTCCACGTTTGTATAAATCTTCCAAATGAGACCGACCCCAAGTCTCTAGCGCTTCCCGTTCATGAAATATCTATCAGGAAACGAGCGCATTCGTGCGAAAAATCCCTGGTAGACAAAGATTCGGTACGTAAACATAGACTAATACATGTATGTCAGCTGAGTACGGGTCAAAATCACTTGAATTTACTAAATAATATTACTAAATACATTAAGTTGAACCACTCACAACTGTAAGTAACATCTGATACACGCGAAATTCGAATTTCGAACCTTTCTACAGTCTTTATTTTCCTTTCTTCGCCATTGTTAATCAGCTGTTCGATGTTTTATAACGAGTCTTCTGATTGGCCGATAGCAACGAAAACGCAACGTTTCACAAAAGGATGCCTTATGGCGTAGAAAGCGATTGAAAGACCGTGTAAATGTTTGAAACTCGAATCTCGTGTGTATCAGATGCAACTGACAGTTGTGAGTGGTCTAATTAAATGTATTTAGTAATATTATTTAGTAAATTCAAGTGATTTTGACCCGTACTCAGTTGACAAACATGTATTAGTCTATGTTAACGTATCGAATTGTTGTGCCGCAATTTGGTCTACCAAGGATTTTTCGCACAAATGCACTCGTTTCCTGAACGGGAAGGCCTAGAGACTTGGGGTTGGTGTCATTTGGAAGCTTAATACACACGTGAAATAGTGATAAAGTTTTTTTTTTAATTGTCTGGACAATTGTTTACACAACGGATTGGAAAATGAATCTCTTGCTCGTAGGCTCGAATCTGGAGTTCCCGGCCTTCTCTTAACTTATAGTATATTTCTTAAGGGGGTCACATTTTACATTTTTTTTGGACAGGTTTTTAATCAATCTGGTAATATTTTTTCTTCCCGGGTCCGATACTCGTGCCTGTGGACGATACCTGAAGGTTGACAAAAATAACGGGAACAGAATTCTAAAAAATAATAATCAATTGTAGCCAAAGGGGAAAAACTCATGCCAAAAACGTTGCGGCGAATGGCGGATATCACTCCGTGTCATTTTTTTATAATACCGTTAAATTTGACCAGTTTCAAAAGAGACAGATTAGGTTCAATTGATAATATATTATTTGAGGCCATATACTCGGTTAATACTAAAAGATATTTAGATGTAGCAGAAACGTTTTAAAAACCGTTACACGATCGAAAATAAGCGCCTCAATCTGCGGTCCCGTTCTCGACTTCCTATGATTCAAGAATGATTTTTTTAATTCAATCACATGACGCCTTTCAGCGTTTCTAAAATTGGACAAGCTCACTTGCTCTATCTAGATGTATAACCACTGAATATTGCAAAATTAATACACGCCGAGTCGTCCCATTATTTCCAGTATTGCTCTAATTCTCCTGCCCTTCATGAATATCGGTCCACAAGTTTGAAATCATTTGTTTAAAGGGAGGAATAGAGAAGAGTTGCATAACTGATGGAATGCAAGTTATCTTCCCTCCAAATATGACATATGTCAATAAAGGAGGCTGTATGGGTAAAAGTGTAAAAGAAAATCTATTTTTAGCACTAATGACCTTGACTTGACTGGCCCCTAACTCCATAGGGTGGAATAACCTATTATAGACGGCAATACATTATAACGGGACAAACAAACGATTTAATACCTTAAGTCACTTCACCAACCACGAATCACAGAATAACACTAGCAGACGTTTAAACAGGTAAACGGTCCATCAGACCTCACCGGTGGTAAATATCACGATTCTGCGTTAAGTGAAATTCAAATAATAATTATTGTTGACAACAAAATGCATGCTATTATTTCGTCGTTTATTTACAGGAAAACCAAAGGCGCCGGAAATCAGAAATACCACGTGGGAAGTTTTTGGAAATGGAATATCAGGCACTCTAACTTGTGAGGGTACTTCTGATTTCGCCGCTCCACCTTTCTACAAACCTGCTATAGCAGCCAATTTAATGACTGAATGGATCATACCATCCGAAAACTATTGGAAAAACATTAGTTACTTTTCATCAATCAATGGATCCTCAGCTAACATATCATTTTTTGATTGTAAGGAATATTTGATGCCGATATATTGCAAAGTGTCAGAAAAGTCGCTTGTTTCGGACAAAAGCATTGGGTTTGACCCTGAAATTATGTGTAAGTATATCATTTTTATCGAATAAAGCCGACTCGCCAATTTGATATTACTAGAAAAATTTCCTTTGGTGCAATAGCATAAAACTAGTTGTTAAGCCTCATTTTATGGCAAAGGCCTCAAATATTTACACGAATCCACATTTTTCTATTGCAAGCTAGTACCTTATGTGTGGAAAGGAATTTACATAAGTCACATTTGACTTGTTTTCCAATCCACGAAATCTATCAGTGTGTTTATATATGCTTACTGTAAATAGTTATGATGTACAAATTGAAATAAAAATTCTTTAAACTAATGGCCAAGGGTCAAAATTGTAAAACATGTAAACGACATACACCAATATCTGATAAAAGGTGATATGTCGAGAGCAAAAAAAGTATACCGCGGAACACTAAAATGTTTTAACTTTGTCTTTCTAAGACATTTTTCCATTTCTCAATTTCTGCAACTCCACAATAAGCTACAAAAAATCGCGATATTTAGATATACTTGTTACCTTTTGTTGCAGGTTCGGAATTACGGTCGGCTGAAGAGCATAAAGAAATTGTTTTTTTAATTGTGCTTGGTGTTACAATGCTTTTAATGATTGCTTTTTCTGGTACGTATTATTTTGTACTTTTTTAAATAATGAACATTGTATATATAATCTGTACTAAAATTTTTCTTTATTTTTAAAGAAAATCTTTACCATTGGTCATGTTATATCTATTGTATCTTGTCATTACAAGAGCGCCATATATTTAAATATGATCGGACAGAATCGGAAAAGATAATAAATCACGCAAAACAACGGTTTATTAACCAAACCAGAACAAGGGGTTTATTAACCAGAACAATGGTTTATTAACCAAACCAGAACAAGGGGTTTATTAACCAGAACAATGGTTTATTAACCAGAACAATGGTTTATTAACCAGAATAATGGTTTACTAACAAGAACAATGGTTTATTAACCAGAACAATGAGTTTATTAACCAGAACAATGGTTAATTAACCAGAACAATGGTTTATTAACCAGAACAATAGTTTATTAACCAGAACAATGGTTTATTAACCAGAAAAATGAGTTTATTTACCTGAACAATGGTTAATTAACCAGAACAATGGTTAATTAACCAGGGCAATGGTCTATAAACAAGAATAATGGCTTATTAACCAGAACAATGGTTTATAAACCAGAACAATGGTTAATTAACCAGAACAATGGTTTATTAATCAGAACAATGGGTGTATTGACCACAACAATGGTTTATTAACCAGAACAATGGTTTATTAACCAGAACAAGAGAAATTTAACCAGAATAACGGTTTATCAACCACGGCAATGTTTTATCAACCAGGCCAATGATTTATTAACCAGAACAATGGTTTATTAATCAGAACAAGGGGTTTATTAACCCGAACAATGGTTTATCATCAAGAAAAATGGTTTATTAACCAGAACTAGGGGTTTAAAAACCAGAAATGTGCTTAATTAACTAGAACAATGGTTATTCAACCAGAAAAATGGGTATATTAACCATAACAATGGTTTATTAACAAGAACAATGGTTTATTAACCAGAACAATGGTTTATTAACCAGAACAATGGTTTATTAACCAGAACAAGAGAAATTTAACCAGAATAACGGTTTATCAACCACGGCAATGTTTTATCAACCAGGCCAATGATTTACTAACCAGAACAATGGTTTATTAACCAGAACAAGGGGTTTATTAACCAGAACAATGGTTTATCAACAAGAAAAATGGTTTATTAACCAGACCTAGGGGTTTATAAACCAGAACTGTGCTTAATTAATTAGAACAATGGTTATTCAACCAGAAAAATGGGTATATTAAGCATAACAATTGTTTATTAACAAGAACAATTGTTATTTAACAAGAACAATGGTTTATTAACCAGAACAATGGTTTATTAACCAGAACAATGGTTTATTAACCAGAACAATGGTTTATTAACCAGAACAATAGTTTATTTACCAGAGCAATGGTTTATTAACCAGAACATGGGGTTTATAAACCAGAACTATGGTTTATTAACCAGAACAATTGTTATTCAACCAGAACAATGTGTTTATTAATCAGAACAATGGTTTATTAACAAGAACAATGGGTAAATTAACCAGAACCATGATTTATTTACCAGGACAATGGTTTATTTACCAGAACAATGGTCTATTAATCATAACAATGCGTATACTAACCAGAACAATGGTTTTTTACCAGAAAAAGGGGTTTATTAACAAGAACAATGGTTATTTAACCTGAACAATGGTCTATTAACAAGAACAATGGGTTAGTTAATTAATCAGAACAATGGTTTATTAACCAGAACAATGGTTTACTGATAAGAACATGTGGTTTATTAACTAGAACAATGGTTTATTAAACAGAAAATTTAACCAGGACAATGGTTTTTTTTTAACCAGAACAATCATTTATTAACCACCACAACTATGGTTTATTTACCGAAACAACGGGTTTATTTACCAGTTAAATGGTTAATTAACCGGGATAATCGTTTATTAACCAAAACAATGGTTTATTAATCAGAACAATTAGTTAATTAACCAGAACAATGGTTTTTTAACCAGAAAATTGGTTTATTAACCATAATTATGGTTTATTAACCGGAACAATTGTTTATTAACCAGAATCATGGTTTATTTACCAGATCAATGGTTTATTAATAAGAACATGGGGTTATTTAACAAAGACAATGTTTTTTTTTAACCAGAGCAATCGTTTATGAACCAGAACAATCATTTATTAACCAGAACAATGGGTTTATTAACCAGAACAATGGTTAATTAACCGGAACTATTGGATTTTTTACCAAAAAAATGGTTTATTAACCAGAATTATTGTTTATTAATCACAACAATGGTTTATTAACCAGAACAATGTGTTTTTTAACCAGAACTAAGGTTTATTAACCAGAAAAATCGTTAATTAACAAGAACAATAGTTTATTAACTAGAATTATGGTTTATTAACAAGAAAAATTGTTTATTAACCAGAATCATGGTTTATTTACCAGAACAATGGTATATTAACCAGAACATTAGGTTTGTTAACCAGAACAATGCCTTTAACCAGAACGATGGTTATTTAACCAGGATAATGTATTATTAATAAGAAGAAAGGTTTTTTAACCAGAACAATGGTTTGTTGAACAGAACAATGGTTCATTGACCAGAACTATGGTTATTTAACCAGAACACTGGTTTATTAACCAGAACAATAGTATATTAACCAGAACAATGGTTCATTAACCAGAACAATGGTTTATTAACTCGAACAATGGTTTATTAACCAGAACAATGCTTTATCAACCAGGGAATGCTTTATTCACCAGAACAATGGTTTATTAACCAGAACAATGCTTTATCAATCAGGGCAATGGTTTATTTACCAAAACAATGGTTTATTAACCAGAACAATGGTTAAATAAACAGAATTATGGTTAACTAACCAGAACTGTGGTTTGTTAACCAGAATTATGGTTTATTTACCAGAACAATGTTTTACTAACCAGAACAAGGGGTTTATTAACCAGAACATGGGGTTTATTAAGTTTATTAACAAGAGCAATGGTTATTTAACCAGGATAATGGTTTATAAACAAAAAAAGAGGGTTATTTACCAGAACAATGGTTTATTGACCAGAACAATTGTTTATTATCCAGAACTATGGTTATTTAACCAGAAAAAATGTTTTATTAACCAGAACAAGGAGTTTATCAACCAACACAATAGTTTATTAACCAGAACAATGATTTATTAACCAGAACAATGCTTTATCAACCAGGGCAATGCTTTATTAACCAGAACACTTGTTTATTAACCTGAACAATGGTTTATTAACCAGAACAAGGGGTTTATTAATCAGAACAATGGTTTATTAACTGGAAATGGTTTATTAACAAAAAAAGAGGGTTTATAAACCAGAACAATGGTGTATTAACCAGAACAATGGTTATTTAACCAGAACAATGGTTTACTAACCAGAACAATGGTTTATTAACCAGAACAATGGTTACTTAACCAGCACAATGGTTTATTAACCAGAACAATGGTTTATTAACAAAAACAATGGTTTATTTACCAGAACAATTGTTTTTTAACCAGAACAATGGTTACTTAACCAGAACAATGGTTTATTATCCAGAACAAGGTTAATTAACCAGAACAATAGTTTATTAACGAGAACAATGGTCTATTTACCAGAACAATGGTTTATTTACCAGAACAAGGAGTTTATTAACCAGAACAATGATTTATTTACAAGAACAAAGGGGTGTATTAACCAGAACAATGGTTTATTTACCAGAACAAGGGGTTTATCGGACAAGTACTTTACACAAGTGTCACTGTGGTTCTAAAGTTTCTAAAACCTAGGCTAATTAATCCGTCCTAAAGTTATTGATCGTTTTACAATAAGTTTCACTTAACCTTTACATTACCAGAATTATGGTTTATTTACCAGATCAATGGTTTATTAACAAGAACATGGGGTTATTTAACAAAGACAATGTTTTTTTAACCAGAGCAATCGTTTATGAACCAGAACAATCATTTATTAACCAGAACAATGGGTTTATTAACCAAAACAATGGTTTATTAACCGGAACAATTAGATTTTTTACCAAACAATGGTTTATTAACAAGAATTATTGTTTATTAATCACAACAATGGTTTATTAACCAGAACAATGTGTTTATTAACCAGAACAAGGGGTTTATTAACCAGAAAAATCGTTTATTAACAAGAACAATAGTTTATTAACTAGAATTATGGTTTATTAACAAGAAAAATGGTTTATTAACCAGAATTATAGTTTATTTACCAGAACAATATAATATTAACCAGAACATGGGGTTTGTTAACCAGAACAATGGCTTTTTAACCAGAAAAATGGTTATTTAATCAGGATAATGTATTATTAATAAGAACAAAGGTTTTTTTAACCAGAACAATGGTTTGTTGACCAGAACAATGGTTCATGAATCAGAACTATGGTTATTTAACCAGAACACTGGTTTATTAACCAGAACAATAGTTTATTAACCAGAACAATGGTTCATTAACCAGAACAATGGTTTATTAACTAGAACAATGGTTTATTAACCAGAGCAATGCTTTATCAACCAGGGAATGCTTTATTAACCAGAACAATGGTTTATTAACCAGAACAATGCTTTATCAACCAGGGGAATGTCATATCAATCAGGGCAATGGTGTATGAACCAGAACAAGGAGATTATTAACCAGAACAATGCTTTATCAACCAGGGAATGCTTTATTAACCAGAACAATGGTTTATTAACCAGAACAATGCTTTATCAACCAGGGCAATACTTTATCAATCAGGGCAATGGTTTATTAACCAAAACAATGGTTTATTAACCAGAACAATGGTGAAATAAACAGAATTATGGTTAACTAACCAGAACTGTGGTTTGTTAACCAGAATTATGGTTTATTTACCAGAACAATGTTTTACTAACCAGAACAAGGGGTTTATTAACCAGAACATGGGGTTTATTAAGTTTATTAACAAGAGCAATGGTTATTTAACCAGGATAATGGTTTATAAACAAAAAAAGAGGGTTATTTACCAGAACAATGGTTTATTGACCAGAACAATGGTGTATTAACCAGAACAATGGTTATTTAACCAGAACAATGGTTTATTAACCAGAACAATGATTTATTAACCAGAACAATGGTTACTTAACCAGCACAATGGTTTATTAACCAGAACAATGGTTTATTAACAAAAACAATGGTTTATTTACCAGAACAATTGTTTTTTAACCAGAACAATGGTTACTTAACCAGAACAATGGTTTATTATCCAGAACAAGGTTAATTAACCAGAACAATAGTTTATTAACGAGAAACAATGGTCTATTTACCAGAACAATGGTTTATTTACCAGAACAAGGAGTTTATTAACCAGAACAATGATTTATTTACAAGAAAAAAGGGGTGTATTAACCAGAACAATGGTTTATTTACCAGAACAAGGGGTTTATCGGACAAGTACTTTACACAAGTGTCACTGTCGTTCTAAAGTTTCTAAAACCTAGGCTAATTAATCCGTCCTAAAGTTATTGATCGTTTTACAATAAGTTTCACTTAACCTTTACATTAGACATAGATACTATCTTCAATCTGTTAGGGGTCATAAACTTGGCATGGACACTGCCACTATTAAATTTCATAAACCTAGGTTTATTCCTTTTCGACAAAGATTTTACATTACCTTGATCTTTGACCCTCAAAATCCTTTCAGCCCGACTTTTTCGAAAACACAGTGTCCGAGCTTTTTGCTACAGTCGTGCCTTTTGTTCCCGTATCAGTTGTTGTCTGAAATCTTTAAGTTTTAACATTGGGCATTATATATTTATTTTTATATTTTTAATGGAGTGTCGCCATACTTGGACACAACTATCCTTTTGACAAGACCTTCAATTGACCATACTGAAATTTACTTTGACTCTTAAATTACCTTGATCTTCAAGGTAAAATGTTAAATTTTACTTGATATTTGCTATAAGTGGCTATTACTTTGTTATACATGTATATGTTTGGATTGTCTTTATACATGGGACCAGGATGTTAAGACCTTAATGGGACAAATTATTGAAATTTGTTTAAATTGTTATAACTTTGTATTTTTTATGGATTTGGTTAATTCTTAGACAATACGGTTCACCTTTCTGGCAATGACATATTATAGCATTTCTTTAATTAAAAATTATCTAAGAAACGTCATCTTAATTTGTTTTTACCAGCAACAGTAGCATTTCTGAATAGAAAGAGAATGTAAGTATTTTTTGACATTTCTACATTTTGAAATCTGTGAATGTGTATTAATTGCTACTTTATACCTGAAAAAATTCTTTCCTTGCTTCATAAAAACCACTACTTATAGTAGATTACTCACCATGGAAACGAGATATTTAAGCCTTTTTTGGAATCTAATCATACACATCAAAGCAACGTCCTTATGTCATCCTTTTAATTGCACTTTGACGTTTTTTATGTACAATGAAAGAACTTCAAATGAATATATCTATCGCCTGAAGAGAAATATACCACAGAATATGAAATCATTTGTGATAAAGGTAGCAAAATTTTAACAAAGGGGTATTTTAATCTCAATACAAAATTCTTAATCGCTATAACTGTACTAATTGCTAAATCAAAAAATAATTTACAGGTTTCTTGGCTATAAAGCCAATCTAATAAATTTTTATATAGATGTAACAGGATATAATAAATAAAAAGCTATTGAAAAAAAAACAATTATTAGCGGTTGTTTAGGCTTAATGGACCTGTCGTATGACATTATTATACATACCTACATATTTTAGTCAATTAAGCAAGATTAACAATGATAAAAACTCATTTAAACGAAATAATATTACACAAAATTCGTTTAAACGAAATAATTATACATGAAATTTACAAAATGAGAATACACGAAATTCGTTAAAACGAAAAAATATTACCCGAAATTTGTTTAAAAGAAATAAATGATTATATGTGATACATGTTCATCAGCTTTCGCAGACGCATTTCTATGTTGTCACTTTTGTGATTTTACTGTGGCATGAAACTTTTTTTCAGTCTATATCGTTTGCATTGCTATTTAATATTTTGTAACGAAGTGGCCGCGTATTATTCTGAGACACATGGTAAACCATATAGCCATTTCATTATACTTTGTGATACAAGAAATTAATTGATCTTTTTATCGCAAATTTATTTTTCATTTTACAAATGATGTGTACGAAAAATTAAACATATTTTTTTTGTAATCAAGTTTCTTAATTGTCATATATTACTTCGTACATTGGATTATTACTCCTTTCACGGGGGAGGAAGTGTTACACGAGGGATGGAGTTATTATGATAACTGTAATAAAAACCGCTAAACGTGACGTGATTTAGCACAAGAAATACATTGGCAGTAACAAAAGTTATCATAAGAACTCCTGGACATATTTTGAGTTATCACAAGAACTCCAGGACAATTGAAAAAAACGGGTATAAATTTGTTAGCCGGAGCTTTATGTTTGCAATTTTGTATTATCATTAGGTTATTATGTATGGCAATGATGAAGACTTGAAATAAACAGGTCAATAATTGCGAATTGGCAGATAATTTAAAATTTTGAAACTTCAAGATTTTAAGCAACAGGCGATGAAAAATGGACTATGAATTAGTTTTTGACACATAATACAGTATTAAAGGCAAGCTAATCATTAAATTTTAATTTAGCATCTGAAACTCCCTTTTTTTAAGATGAAAATTACCATTTTTGACGAGTGTTTTTGCAGTATATACAGTAGTTTTCCGACGAACTCCGTGACAGTTATCAAAATAACTCATTGACAAGTTATCATAAGAACTCCATCCCTCGTGTAACACGTCCTCCCCCGTGCCTTTGAAAACTTAAAAAAGGTCTTCGCTTTTGGCTACTAATTGATACGAACAAACTAATGTCATATGCAGTACTAAATATTTGATTTCATTATGCCTGGTTCATGGCATTTCAAATTATCGGTGAAAGTAGATTATAAAATACTGTTGAGTGCAAGTTTGACATTATTTCTTGTACTTTTTAACATTAACAATTGTTTCCAATAAATCAAACACCGTACATTTCTTTATTATAGCCTATTTTCAATATCTAATAAATACTTAAATTACTTAATAAATTCTTAACTGTAATTGTATAAACAATAATGCATTAATCAAAATGTTGTATTTATTGTAGTGTTAACATTAATGCATTAACCAAAATATTCTGTTTATTGTAGTGTTAACAATAATGCATTAACCAAAATATTGTGTTTATTGTAGTGTTTACAATAATGCATTAACCAAAATATTTAGATTATTGTAGTGTTTACAATAATACATTAACCAAAATGTTTTGTTTATATTGTGTTTATTGTAGTCAAGCATGGAGGCGGCAAAAAATACCTTCTCTAATAGACGGATGTAAGTGAGAATTATTTTTGATATCACAATGTTTGTTTGTGTTGTTAGATTTAGTACCAATTCATCACTATTTCAATATTTTATCAACAGACGTTTATCTATCTGATATTACTGGAATTTGAATCTTTCCTACAAAAAACTTATTACATAACAATTTCTTGCAATCTTTGCAATCTAAATCGTATCAATATCTGTAAGTACTTTGCTGTATAAGTTTATTTTAATATACTATTATTCATCTTGCAGGGCATCGAGTTGCAGCGACTGCGTTAAAATTTTTAGCTATTACAGTTTGAATTTGATACATGTATACGAATTTTGCATGACCAGAGTTTCTAACGTGGCTAATTCCTTTAAGAAAGAATGTTAAAATCGCTAAAAATACTTACAATAAAAAAACAACAAAAAAGTTGCCTTGACAGGGTTTTGAACCCCAGACCTCTCGCTTCCTAAACGAGCGTGTTGCCCCTGGACCACGGGCAGTTTTAAGAAAATAGTCTGAAGCAAACCAAATTATTCTTAATTAGGGTTTGTAATCCTTATTAATTTCGAGATATTTCGTTCACGGTAAACCTGTTGTTTAATACTGATCTAAATAATTTAGCAAAAATCTTCTCGCCCAAACAGTCCAACATGTATATAATATTTCACTACTCGACAGTCAGATTTATTTGTGTAATACGCGCTGGAGTGTGACTAAAAAAACGCTTTCTTACAAACCATATAGAAAAATCCGTAAAAGTTAGTTGGAAAATCTTATCTCGCATGGGCTATCTCGCACTCCACGTGCAGCACTTCTTTACGTATTCCTACACATAGGCGATATCCACTCCGATTTTGATCATGTATCAAACCCATATATGAGCTTTAATATAAATTTGTCCACGGAATCGAAATAAATTGATCATAATGAGTCCTTCTATACCTGAGCCCGATTTTTCCTTATCGATCTGTTTCTTAAAATAGCACGCTTTAAAATTTCGCACAATTCTTCATAAAATCGGATATTATGACTCTTTGCCTGAATAACATCCATGTTTTCTGTAATGATACAGATGCTTCTTGATTTAATGTATTTGATCAAAATAACTGAAACAGTAGAAAAATTTTCGCAAACGGTAAAACGCTTTTTGTCAATCATTGAAGTATGGACTGAATTTCTAATAAACACTAATATTATGACATTTGTGATTGTGCATTTATTGACAATTCTATAAGCCAAAGCTACTTTTAAACTTTGATCGGTTATAATTCGCTGGATACTTGTAACAAAATAAAAATATTTCTTTCTTTTACATTGCTAGTTTTAAGCTGTTTTGAGAACTTCTTTTTGTTGTTAGGATTGTTGAAAGGCGCTGTTTCTGAGATTGAATGTCAGCATTGTTTTTCCTCATCTGCGATCAGAAAATACAAAAAATGACCATTTGAACTTTTATGAATTGACGCACTTTGTTTATAAATTACGCAAAAAAAGTTATACATGACGAAATATCTTTTAAATGACCACAGAAACCATCATAAATGACTGAAACAATTAAAAATGACGCAAAATTTTAATATAGCTGCAGAAAGTATTATATGTATAAATAATCCGACAGTATTTTAAGATGACCACAGTTACTATTAAAAATGACCTGTATAACGATTATAGATGACGCAAATGTTTTTTTTTATAAATGGCGCTAAGAATAGTATAATTTAGCACAGAAACTTCATAAATGACCAAACGTACTTTTTTAAATGACCACAGAAACAATTTTAAATTACGCAAAATTTTATGTAGGTATATGACCGAAGAAACTACAATAAATGACTACAGAAACTAATATAAATGACCGTTTAAGCAATTAAATAAAAATAAGGCGTAGCCACTTTTATAACCGTTTGATATATTTTCTCTTTTTGACCATAAGTACCCTCTGAGCGAGATTTTCGTTCGGACGAAGTGCAACAAGCATTGGAACAAATTGCAATGGAGGAGTCCAGACAGAAATATGAGTTACACGGCGGGCAGAGTACAGGTAGTGTTATCTAAGTACTATAAAGATTTTGATAGATTAACCAAACTTTTATATAGGTGTTATATACGGTGGCGCAGAGGTGACATTTGTGCATTTTTATCTCGTGCCCAGGAGATACTATGTCGTGCGCACGAGTAACTAAGTAGTGCGCAGGAGATAATTAAGTGGTGCGCACGAGATACTATGTCGTGGCCTCAAGTTACTAAGTCGTGTGCACGAGATAATTAAGTTGAGCGCACGAGATAAATAAAACACAAACATGTCACCTCTGTGTCACCGTAGTTATAGGCAGTGCTCGATAATTCAAAGAACTTTATTCTCAAATTAGTAATTGACATATTCACCAAACTTTGATACAGTTGAGTTCAAGTGTTTTTTGTTTTGGTATCAATAAAGATTTTTGTTTATGAGAAAGAATATGTGCACAACTTCCATTTCATGTTACGTAATACATTTTGTAATAAGATTACATTGTTTGTTAGCTAAAATAACTGACAGCTGAGTAAGACGGGATATAGTGAAATAGACTTGACCAATATTTGGGGAGTTTTTCCCGCCTTCTCCCTGTCTGTAAGGCGTAAATATATTGTTTGTTTTACTGCAATTATCACTGTTCTATCTCTAGTCATCGTACATATTAATGTAAAAAGGATAAAGACATTACACAAACACCAAAGCAATCAATCTTTATCATATTATTTACATTAAACATCTTATTTTTCTTATAACCCTATATTTGGCGAAATTATCGGCGTGAATCCTCCATAAAGCATACAACTATAGATCTGTACAAGCAAAACAGTTTCTGTTAACATCAGCACAAATTGAGAAGCACAAATTATTTATCAGCACAAATTATTTAATATCTTTTTATCAGCACAAATTATTTATCCATTGCGTTCAAAAATCAGCACAAATGTTATATCAAAACAGAAAACAGCAAATCTTTCCAGCAGTCCTATATTCATACATATTAAACCGCGCTTATATTACTATTTTATGTTAATACTTTGTTGACGCCGCAAAATAGCGATATGGCACCTTTTATAGCAAAACAGAAACAAAAGAGGGCCCCGAAAAAAAATCGTGACCCCTCTCTAATAAATAAAGCTTGGACGAAGCTGATGGCTCGTTGCAGCTGAGCGCTGATACCATCCCCTCTGGAAGGATATTATTAGATTCACGCCGGTAACATCTTGCTGGAGTGCAAAGAATCTGTCTCTTAGCCTAGCTTAAGGTGATTCCGCTTTGTCAGCCGTGTTTGTTTTCACTAAGTTGGTCCTAAGTGAAAGTAGGCCAAAATTTATATAACAATAAAGCTCTCAATGTAAAATGATTAACCATTTGAAAATACACTTCCAGGTCTATGTTTTAAAGACTATTATTTCAGGTGTAAGTTTGGCTGGGTGGGGATAATTATAAATTGCTGTCAGTCACATAGGAACTCTGAGTTAGGACCGCCTATTGCGGCGCATAAATCCGAATCCGTACAGACTTTACATATTGTTCGTCCGACCTTTGAATTTCTTTTCATATTATGCGAGCGTGTGGTCTTTAATTATCTTATCTTAATTTAATATAATCTGCTAATTTAAATATCAGTCAAATTTACGGTATATTGAAAAAGAAAAGGAGTGAAATCTGCATTAACCGCAACGTTCGGCGTAAGTTATTCCCCTTGATATGCTTGATTTTTGTTTTAATTTTTCTAGTACTCTCTTTTGTCACTCAATACATGGAAAACGTTCACATTTCCTAGTAATGAATACCAGATGAGTCGCTAAAATATTTATCTATGGATCATGTTTTAATATTCCTTTTTTCAGTAAGGCAAAATCAGTTGGACCATATTACTAAAGTGTCTGTTTTCCCCATGTTAGCAAATAAAAACACGAATACGCCCGTTAAAATGCCGCTTATACATGTCAACACGTGTAAACAATAAACCGTGAACGTTATATCCAGCCGATACCACAGGCACGAGTATCGGACCTGGGAAGAAAATATGACCAGATTGATAAAAAAACTGTCAAAAAAAAAAAAAAAAAAAACACACACTAAAATATGACCCCCTTAAGAAATACACTACAAGTTAAGAGAAGGCCGTAACTCCAGATTCGAGCCATAGGAACTCGAGAACGGGACCGCAGATTCCGGCGCATATTTTCGATTGTGTAACGGTTATTAAAAACGTTTCTGCTACATCTAAATATCTTTTAGTATTATCCGAGTATATGGCCTCAAGAAATATATATTATCAATTGAACCCAATCCGACTCTTTTAAAACTGGTCAATTTTTACGGTATTATAAAAAAAGACAAGGAGTGGACATAAAAGCATTTTCCCTTCGCCCGAAACCCCCGTTTTTCGGTTCTCGAAGGGTTTCCTAAAAATGGTCCAAGGTTCATTTTTTTTAAAGGGACCTTAATTTTTTTTTCCCTTCAATTTTTAAATGTTCAAAAAAAATAAAAAAAATTGGAATTTTAAAATGCTGGGGGAAAAAATTTTGGGGGTTTAATCTGCCTGGGGAAACCATTTTTAAGGGGAAATATTTTGGGAAAATTTTGTGGGTTTTTTCGGGGCCCGGGGAAAACTGAAATAAAAAATTGTTCATTTTTGGGTCCCCTCCCCCTTAAAAAAGGATACTTTGACAAGCCAAGGGATATTACAACCCCCATAAGCAAACATTAAAACCAGAAAATTGCCCTCAAACAATAAAAATTGGGCTTTTTTCTAAAATTAAAATGCGGTTCCTTTTTTCCTAAAAGATGTAATAATTTTGGTTTTAATTTTTTTCCCCTTTTTCTCCATACTACCCGGTTGTTAAATTTACGATCTAGGAGGACAAATCAGTTCTTTAAGTAATAGAAAGATCATATAAACATTGAGGGCTATTAGATTGTATTCTACCCGAGTATACAAATCAGATTGCCAATTTTTTTATAATCTATCTCTTTTGTATCATAGGTAAAAAAAATATTTTAAAAACACTTTCCCTGTCGTCACAAAAATGAATGTCCAGAATAAGTGAACCAATGTAAGAGCATTCTGAATCATTATCCCTTTCCTTGTCGTCATAATAAAGTAAACCCCAGAAAATTGTAGCCATTCAACGAGCATGGTTTGTATGTTAATCCACAGCAGTCAGTGCGGTACATTGAGTCGGATAACTTATACCTACACTTGAACCAGTGCGTTTATAGGTATACTATTTTTAACTCTAAGACACATTTTCAATAGAACTGTCTCTAAAACTATGATACGATGTAGAATTATATTCGTTTTAGAAAAATAAACATAATGGCTATTTAGCAGGAACAAACACTGTAAGCCCTTTTATCCCAAAATGAAAACGAAGCCGGAACAATCGCAACTACCCAGCAGTCCTGATTCTGTTCGAGGTGGCCGAAGGGGCGCTTCGCGAGTAGAAGAAGCAAATGATGGACATTTAACTATACTGAAAAGAAGTCGAGTCATGTATGTATCGTGTGTCCTGGTCAGCAAACTTGGTGTGTCTTAATTCTAAATACAATATTTCAAAACTTACAAAACGTAAAAACTAATGGAAGATTATTTATGCAATAATTGTAAGGTTTCTTTCTGTTAAGTGCGTCATTCTTAGTCACGTAATTAATGTATGATATAGAGATATATTGATAAACACTTGTAAAATGTTAAAATTGTATTGTGGTTTGCAATTAACATGCTGTTTCGTAAATACTGTTATCTGTCTGCATCTACGAACTTCTATTCAGCAACTTTTAAATCACTGGTGCTTGATTTAAGTCTCAATAAAAAGTTTAAATTTCAAGAATAATTGCTCAAAATCAATATTTCCTATAAATATGGAAGGAAATTTATCTCTATAGCGATTAAAACAGCACACCTCCAGATTCATGTTAATTTTCATAAAATTTTGGCAATGTATTTAAAAGCAAAATAACGTGAGGTGAACAAAATAAAGTAATTTACATATTGCAATCGGCACTTACAATCCACGAAAATTACCAAAAGGGGTCAACATAATGCAAAAAACAGCCCTTACTGCGGTAGTAACGCAGTAGACATATGGTGATAAAATACTGCAAAATCAATGTCAACCGCACATGACATATAAAATATAACTTGGATCTTATCTTGAATATTTTTACTTTTCTTAAAAGTTTAGTGCATTTATTATTATGGTTGTAGAAACCGAAAGTACAAAATGTCAACCTGTTGACATTTAGTCGCATTTGTTTAAAATTGTACATCAGTGAGCATATGCAAATTAAAATGGTTGTCAGACATATTTTTAATCATAATGGTACCGAAACAGACTTAATTTTCTTTTGAATGTCAATTATATGTACGAGTACATCCGTTTTACATTATGTTTACATCTGAAACTATTCTCACTCCGTATAATCTGGTTCCCGTCGTTCTATAAAATTTAGTTCTACTGAACGGAGAGAATAGGGCAGGTAATCCAGACTATCACTCCGTATTGATTCCAAGGTTATTATAGATAATAGCCGAGGACGTTCCGATTGCATTAGGGGTAGACTACCGTTAGTCACGAGCGCGCCTATTGTAAACGTTAAATTATTGCTTCTGGCCAAAAAAAATAAAATTGATCAGTTCGGCCAAATAAAAAACGTATCAGTGAATGTAGTTAAGGTTCTCAAGTGATGACGAGATTTCTACTATACATTTCGTAATATATTAATTGGGACAAACTTAGAGACATATGTAAACTTAATACCCTGAAAATGTCATCACCGCATCATGGAGAATTGTATATTCAGGTTAGCGATTTCAGAGCCATTATGACCCTCTTGCTATATTACGGAGCTCTATACCTCGTACTGAAACTATCCTGCTTAGAAGAATAACAAGAACCTCAACCTTAACCTTGAGTTAGTAGAGCTACATATACAATTCATTCAAATGTCAGAAAGGAATTATTTCAATGAGTGTAGCAAATGGTCTTGTTTGGAATAAATGTTGACAGATCATATAGGCTCTATTTTTATTGTTGAAATCACGCGCGTTGTATGGCACATTCAGAAATCAAATAATCTTTCTTACTAGTACAAAATCCAAAATGAATAACAAAATTAGTTCTACTGCATAAATATGAATGATACATTTTTCATTGAAAGACTATCATTAATTGATTGGCTGACTGTGTCTCAAGTTCATTTTGGGATTGTAAATCTCCAAATTTTTCATTATTTTTTTGTAGAATTCATCTACTTTTTAACTGCTTATTCTTTATCCATTCCTTTCATCATTTTTTTTTCCGGAACTAAAACGTATCATGTACTAAAATTCACTCGAATATCTGTACAGCCTTGGCGGTAGTTTTCTCATCTTCCTCTTCAAAACTACCAAGGTTTAATTATAAACAAACTTATATACCACTAATTATTTTTTCACTTCTCTGCCTTAAGTGGAATTTGGGTTCTGTAAATATTCTTTCCGGCTGTCACTTGACGAAGTATTCGTTTAAAAATCACTTTTTCAATGTGTGTTTTTGAAAAGTGTAGACATCATGTTGATTTGTGGTTACAATATACAGTACTTCTATAAACAAACAAAATACCTCTCCGATTGTAAATAAATAATATTTATAATTTTCAGCTTGAATTTATAATTGTAGCAATTGATATTTTGCATTCAGCATTCGTTTTTTTGCATTTATTAGTTTATGCAATTAGCAATTGACATTTCGCATTCAGCAGTCGCTTTATGCATTTAGCACAAGTTTGTTATTTCGCATTTAGCAGCTGGCTTTATGTATTTAGTAATGGACATTTCGCATTAAGCATTTAATGTAATCAACAATTGACATTTCGCATTAAGCATTTAATGCAATTAGCAATTGACATTTTACATTCAGCAGAGGCTTTGTGTATTTAGCTAATGGCATTTTGCTTCCAGCAAGTAGCTTTATGCATTTACCAATTGACATTTCATTTTTAGCAGTTGGCTTTATGTATTTAGCTATTGACATTTCGTTTTCAGCACTCGGCTTTATGCATTCAGCAATTGATATTCCGCATTTAGCAGTAAACATGGTAGAAAGGCTTTCCGTAGATAATATTTCTTAAACATGCAAATAATTTGCGATTAACCATGACATATTAAATAGAAAGAACCATTGAAGTATTGCATGAAAGGTCAACAATAATTTTAAATAAAACTGCCATCTATAGCTTAGCACTTTCAGTACACGACTTTTTAACAGATATTGAAAGTTATGTTTTCTAACTTTCAGTGCTAACCAGTCACCAAAAACAGTTAAGCAGTGCTGTCATACCACTTCGGGTGTCAAGAGAAACTATATTAGAGAATCTTATAGGTTATTATTCTGAAGAAGATCTGGCAACGTCTCGCATTACTGTGAAGTTTATTGGCGAGGAAAGCATGGACTGTGGTGGTGTCACTAACGATATGTTTACAACATTTTGGTACCAAGCTCAAGAGGAATTCTTCATTGGTTACGAGGCAGTGGTGCCGTATCTCCCCCCTCAACGATTCACAGACGATTCAAAGTATCAAGTTCTTGGCAGGATACTATCCCATTCCATTGCTGTTATGAAAGAATTTCCGATACATATGTGTAAAAGCACGATTATTGCAATGATCTATGAAACAACGGATGTTTCGGCTGAGAATCTATTTGAAGATTTCCTGTACTTTCTGGACAGCCATGATCGTAATTTGGTTACCACGGCAATAAACAATTACGGTAGTTTAACTTCTGATCAAGCAGACGAACTTATGACCATATTTGAGAGAATACGAATATGCAATTAAAAATAACAGCCGAAATTTTAGGTATCACGTGACCCCAATTGGCACGCCATGTGTTTATGTATAACGTCCAAAACCATTACTAGACAAAATGAGGTTCAGGGATACCGCAGTCGCACCACTGGAACGATTTTGGTCGAATGTCTATTTGAAGACATTAAAAGGCGTTCTTTTTCCCTGTGCACTAAAAAAAAACCAACACCAGAAAGAGTTATCGCCCGCTTGAAAACACATCAAGGCCCTTGATTACTGCAGATCACATAGGGTTTTTCGGTTTTCTAAAAGACCTGTTGAAAGAAATGACGACACAAGAGATGGAGACGTTCCTTAAAAATTTGTAACAGGAAGAAAATCTGTACCGCAAAGGAAGACATATATTGAGATTACACTAGACGGCACTTATCTGATATTACCGCTGGTTCACACGTGTTCACGCAGGATGAAGTTGCCAGCATCATACGAAACCTTTCGCTCCGAGTTTAAACATCTTCTGGCAACCGATGAAGCACTGAAAATGTCAATGGCGTAGAAAACACCAGACAGTTCTTAATGTAACGGAATGTACAAATTTCATAGAATAAACAATTACTGTGGAAAATCAAGGTGCAAGTATACATTTATCTCCTTGTGTCTGTTTGCAAATCAGCCAGTTTATTTTTAAAGACAATCATTGACCATGCAAGGTCTGTTGATGTTATAATGAAGATTAAATTTAAATTCGGTACCATAAAAAACAACACAAAAACATGACGTATAATGATGTAACTACAGCGCAAACCGTTAATAGTAATGGCAGCTAAACTCATCTTCCGAACTATTCAAAGTTTCCTGTAAATATTTCATATATTTGCTAGAAATCCTTTTTTATTACATGTTTTTCTTCTTTATAATATAATCAATTTATAGAAATGCTTATAAACGTACATTGTATATTGTGAATGTAGTTTACTTTATAGATATTAGATATTTTGTATGGACATAAGAATGTAGTTTTACTTTATAAATATTGGCTCTTTTGTATGGACATAAGAATGTAGTTTAACTTTATAAATATTAAATCTTTTGTATGAACATAAGAATATAGGTTTACCTTATATTTTATTCTCTTGTATGGACCTTAGACTGGTTAAATTATATCTTTTGTATGCGCCTCAGATTGCAGTTTAAGTTTCAACATAATATCTTTTGTATGGACCTCAGAATGTAAGTTCAGTTTGTTAATTATATATATAATATATCTTTTGTTTGCACCTCAGATTGAAGTTTTAGTTTGGAAATTATTTTTCATCTTTTGTATATACTTCCGTGGCCAAGTGGTTAAGGTCGTTGACTTAAAACCACTCGGCCCCTCACCGCTATGGGTTCGAATACCAACAGGGACTTTGGATTCTTTTATGTGAGGAAGCTATCCAGCTTACTGACGGAACGTCAGTGGTTCTAGTAAGGTGCCCGTTCGTGCCTGAAATAATGCACGGAAGGGCGCTCCTGATGTCTTCCTCCACAAATTAAGCTAGAACGTCGCCATATGATCGACAATGTGTCGCTGTGACGTAAAACCCAATCAAACAAACAAACAAAATATCTTTTGTATGTATCTCAGATTGTAGATTTAGTTTGTAAACACAATGTATATCGTTTGTATGGATCTAACAATGTAGTTTTAATTTGAAAAGTATATATTTTGCATTCACCTCAGACTGTTGTTTTAGCTTGTGAAATATATCGTTTGTATGCGTCTCAGATTATTTTTTCTTTTATTTCTCTCAATAAAACCTTGAAAGTTGATTATTATTTGTTGTAATTTGAGTGTTTCATATTTATTATATGAATTTATCCAAAATTTAAGGAAAGTCAGCAGCATTTCTCTAACTAAATTCGTCTTTCCTTTGCAATTAAGTTTTAAAGATAATGTACTTTAATAATGCAAAATTAAAACAAGACGACCATGATGGCCCTTGATCGCTAAACTGAGAGATCAATTGATAAATATGGTCATTATTGTCCAGTACAGTCACAAGTATGTGGTCAAAGTGAGGCATCGCCATTTTTGACCGAAGGGCCAGGATTTACATAACTTTTGCAGAGGTCCACTATAGGCTATTCTACGTACCTGCCAAATAGGTATGCTTTCGGGCATACCACACGTTTTTTCAGAGGAATTGATATACATTTTATCAAATAAGTCAATGTAGAAACAGTGTTTCCCAAGGTGTGTATATAATTATTTATACAAGTTACAGAGACTTGGAGGTGATGTTCTAAGCCAAATATGTAAAATCTGGGTATGGTAATATACGAGAATAGTTTTGAAGTCTATTTCATACGAAATTTCCCTAAGCAGGTCTTATTTGACCGCATTGGTTAAATCTCAACAATATATGTTTGTAAAACATGTATGTCCCCTTTCGGCAGCCAATTAGTCATGTGAACAGGTTATTATGACTGACTTTTGACCTTGTGAACAAAACATCAATAAGGGTTATCTACTGGTCATGACTAGTCACTAGGTAATAAAATATTGTGACCGCCTAAGATGTGTGCAGCAATTTTATGACAACATTATTACAAATCTTATCAAATAATATATGCATAAATTTTATGAATCATGTAGGCCTCATTAATGACAGCCAAGTTGTTAAATTACATAAGACCTTCACATGTGTATACGAAAAGCATTTTAGTTGAATATAAAAATATCAAGCTAGGCAACTTGAATTGTTGAGTTATTGGTCAGAAACCATCTTTAAATACATGGTCAATATGACACTGAGCCCTGACCCCAAATCAATAGGGGTCATCTACTGGCAATGCACCTCAGACCAATGCACCTACGAAGTTTAAGGGCCAATAGCTCATTGGTTGTCCAGTAATTGATTGTCAGCCTTTTTTTCCAAGATAAATATGACCTTGACCTTTGATCTCTCGACTCAAAAAATATACAGGTCATGAGCAATCATCGTACCAAGTTTTGAGTTCCTAGGCCTAAGCGTTCTTTAGTTATTGATCGGAAACCCTTTTTATTCAAAAGGTCAATGTGACCTTTGACCCCTTGACCCCAAAGAGGGGTCATCTACTTGTCATGACCAGTCATCATACCAAGTTGAAGTTCCCAGGCCTAAGTGTACTTTAGTTATCGCTCGGAAACCATTTGGTCTACGGATCAACCGACAGACAGACAAATGCAAAGCAATATATCCACATCTTCTTTGAAGTAGGGGCATACTAACTATTGCAGAGGTGGACTATGTAATGCTTCATGCCAAATATCTAAGCTCCAGTATTTAAGTAAAATACCCAGGGTGAAGATCATCTGTCTGTTCATATATGACGTTTATCTTATACCAGTAATTCTTTTTAAGTTATGCTCTGAACAAAATTAAAGTATGCTGTATACTATATATGGCATTAACTCTAAAATGATTCAAAAGTTAGGTTCTTAGGCACTACACAAGCCATTTGTTTTGGAAAAGTTGTTCCGGTTAGGTGGTTTCCTGCATTTGTTAGTGCATGATTGAACGGGAAACTAGCTGCAATCGTGCCAATCGCAACTTTTCGGCCCTTTCCGTCACTCTTAGGATTAATGATAATAGCCGAGGTAGTTCCGATTGCAATCGTGATAATTCGGGCGATTCCGTCATACTGCGGAATCAGACGAAGTAATATTACGGAAATCTAAGCTATTTTAGTTACCTTGGTAATCCCAATTTGTTTATATAAATATTTCTATTTCAACTTGATTCCGTTCCAATTCTTTTTCAAGACGCAAAAGTTAGTTTCTTTTATAATTGGTTTTTGTCTTTATTAGTTTTATACAATAGAGAATGGTTACTGTAGTAGTATTCCGTCTCCAAAGGACGGTCCTGCTTACCAAAAGATCGTGACCGAATCACGCAGAATATTAGTGCATGATCAAGTTATGTTTAGATCTACTGACAGAGTTTAAACGTCTTGGTGAGGTAATCTAAATATAGCCCATGCATATCATTAACCTTACCACGTGATGATGTGTTGTCGGTATATCTGTGATCATAGATGTTTTAGGTGTAACATAGTTGATTCATGCTTATGGTACCACGTAACGAAGCCTTTTAGTGCATTTACTTGTCTCTAAAGCTGCTATATAAATGAAATTAGCAACTGCCAAAACGAATGACTCTCTCTGCGAAAAAAGTGGAAATGAAATGTGCACACTTGTTTCCCTTCAGTATGATAGATTGATCTCCACGTGAGAGCCAATGTTAGTATTTTTACGATTGATTAGTTTCTTAATAGTTCTATACAATATAGAATAGATTTCGAATCGTTTTTGACAAAAAATATTCGTTTTTACAAAAAAAAGTTACTACTGTTATCGTAGGCATGTTCCCGTTCAGTTATAATCAGTGGACTTCTGGTCCCTATTTGGTCCAAATTTGCACGCATAACACTGGTGCTCAAACAAATGGGCACAGGTGCTCGTCCAGTCTTGGGCTTACCCTACCTATCCCTTTAAAAGTGAAACTTCGAGAAAAAAAAACTAAATAAACCCTTTATGATATACAAATACCGTAATTCAAAAAAAAAATGTGATAATAAATTGAAAAAACAAAACAAACAATTTTAAAGGGAAGGGATGATGGCACAACTGAGCAAGCCTTTCCTTTTAAAAGGAAACTTTATTTTGTTTGTTTTGGGTTAGGTTTCACGTTGAACCAAAACAGTATATGTCATATGGTGACTTTCCAACGTTGTTGGTGGAGGAAAACCTCATTTGCATATCCGTGCATTTTTCAGTAGAAATCACTCACGTTCTGCAGCTTCCTTACATGAATAATCCAAAGTCTCTGTCGGGCTTCGAACCAAAAGCGTGATGGGCATGTGGCTTAAAGTCAGGGACCGTTGATAACCATCGGCCATGTTCGCCCCTCAATGACATCTATATCTCTTAACCTCTGTAAATTTCAAGTTCATAAATCCAATACCAAACACAAGCTTTGGCATATGACAAACACGTACAAAAGGGC